ATAAGGTTATGGGATGAGGGATAAAATGACAGCCTCTCTGAATGACAAGCGATGAAGGTGCACTGAAGCCCTGGGCACTGCTGACACTGGAGCATGTAGCATCCAGAGCCCTTTGCAGGTGCCCTGAATGCAGCTGAGGGCTGGCTTCTGCTCGCCTTTGCAGAAGGGAATGTGAGAGATCACCTAGAAAGGGCCTGTTTTGTTTTGTTTTCTGACATTGGTTGGTGGCGTCTGGGAGAGACAGTGTGCCAGGATACAGTTAGAAAGCAGACGAGTGCTTCCTAAGGCACATTCAGATGTGCTGGATGCCCCTAGCCACAACTGATGCTGGGTGGCGGAGCGTAAGGAATGTGGAAGCACAGAAAAACTGATGGGAAGGGCACTGCCTTGAAAACTACTGCACAGAACATAGAGTCAGAGGTGGATTTCAGTGGGATATCACACTAGATGATCACCAGAGGTCCCTTCCAACCAACATTTCTATCATCAGAAAGCTCTGTTTCCCAGATCCTTAACCAACCTGAGCCAAAAAGGTAGGACAGGACAAACAGGACCTTACAGAAAGCCTGGCCAGGCATTTGGGGCAGATCTTGAAGCAGCCCTAGTACCTGGTGCAGCATGAGCAGGCTTGGTTTGGACCCATGGCAGGATTGTATTTTTGCAGTAACCTCAGGAGCCCTGGTCCTAAAGATACAATATACTCTGTAATGGCAGTACATGCAATTAAAAACTAATGAGTGTGTAAATAATTTGTAGCACACACATAGCAAATAGGATTTGTACAGAAGCACATGAGCAACCAAAGAACACATAAAATTATGTACCTAACTTTCATGCACAGCAAAATGTCATACATAAATGGAGAAATGGTATGTCAAGCTACATATGCAAGTGTCCATTTGAATGTGCAGTTACTCAGAGTCTATTCAGAGCTCTGTGCACACCTCTGCCTGTTAATCCTTTGCCAGAATGTAGATCATAATATGTCATACAGAACAAGAATAAAAGGAACCAAGAAATTCATGGTATCTGTGAGTCACTCTTTTTATTTCTGTTCTGACAAGTGACACAAAACTTCTGTGAACATGTGAAGCTTTGAACTCAGCTGAGATGCATGAGATGTCAGAAAAGCTGTGTGAATAATGCAGCTGGCAAGTGTGCTTTGCTTGCAAGAATTTCCAAGCCTTTTTTTACTAAAATGCTTTAAAGCATGTAAGTGCTGACTATACTAGGGTTTCATGCAATAGCCAATGTATGTAGTACTCTGAGCAGACATTCATTAAGAGTCAAAATAGCATAAACATTATGATCCACACCCTTTTTTTGTAGTGATTAGTGAATAAACTTGTTTAAATCTGTTTGATGTGATTCTTCTGTCAATATTAACATTAGATTAATTGGTTCTCTCTACTGGCTGGGTTGTCACGTTTCTATATTTTCTTGGTATGAGATCTCTGTGAGGTAAAGTTCTACGACTCAGTTGAACTTATTTGATCCTGTTTGTTTTAATCTCATTCTCTTTTAATGTTGCTAACGTGTTAAACAACCATGAACTAACTTCTGAAAAAAACAATGTACCGCTTACTTATAAAAAGTACTGAATAGGGTGACAAGAAACGACTAAGATGTGAGATGGTCTTTGTGTCTGGAACGATGAAATAGTCTGGGAATTTCAGCCTACAGGAAAAGGAGGGGTACGATAGAGGTCTCTGAAACCAATGGTGTTACAGAATAAGTAACAGCAAATAATTGTTCACTGTTTCTCATAATATAAGTGAAGAAACATCCGAGAAAACTAGCAAGTGGCTAATTCAAAGCAAAAGCAGATAACTAAGATAAACTGCACAAATTTAAAGGATGTAGTGAATGGTAAGATTTTATATTGTTTCAAACACATCACTGGATAAGTCCATGGAAAAAAATGCTGAAAGTGTTATTGATTATAAAGATACTGCCTTTTGTTCAGGAGACCCATTAATATAATTTGCTACAGTCTGGAAAAGTGTCACAATATGTTTGCCCTTCTATACCCACCCACCTCTGACCATTACCATAGGTAAGGCAGTACGTTGCTTACAGCTATGAACTGTGGTGGTATTGCCAGTGTCATGCCCTCTGTCATTGAAAACAAACTTTAAAAAAAATCTATAATGTAAACAAGATAAATTCTCTCTTCATAAACATTCTTTTAATTTCCCTTCAAGGTCAGATCTGGTTTTCCTAACCATTCCTTCTCTCTTTTGTGAACTTCTGTTAGTATTATGAGATAGGTACTTGGAGCTACTACAGGGTATACCTGGCTATTTTAGCTAAACCTTCACAGGTAACCATTCATAGATAACTATTGCTGGTTGATCTAAACCACTTGTTTGGGTTACACCTGAGAAATAAGCCAGAACTGAGATTTAAATACATGATTGATTATATACCATTAATAAAATTGAAGGCAACACTTTTCAAAGAGATCAACATCCATGAAAGAGTCAGGATTTTCTGATAACTCCATTCTCAACAGGACGCTGTTTCCCAGAGGGCTAAATGCCCAATGCTCTTTCTGACCTTTGAAAATGTGGCCCAAAATGTACATGTATTAATTTTCTCAGTTATTTCAAATAAATCAGGCCTGAAAATAAAACCATACTTGAGAACAGTGTTTTACAACATATTCTTTGTATAGCATTCATGTGTTGTGCTTGCTTGTAATTGTGGCTGTAATCAACATTGAAGACCATGGCACTCAAAGGACTTGCAGCCTTAAAATGTCTTGCTGGACACAAAAATCTATATTGTTATTTTTAAACCTTGCCCACAAGAGATGTTATCAACTTACTAGCAGAGAAAGAAAGAACTGTCCCAAGTGTTTGACATAACTTGTGCCCTCCGAACTGGCCAACATGGCCAGAGCACTTACTATAATTCAGGGAAACTCATTCTGCTTTCCTGACACCACCTCCCACAATCTTGAGCAAATTTAAGACATTATTGCAGCTGTACAGGAAACATATACACATTTATGTGTGCAGTCTGAGTACAGTAAATGACATACTAGATCTGAGATACAATTTATCCAATACAATAATCTGCCCTTTAGATAGCCACAGGACATATATCTGAGAAAGGAAAACCTAAGAGTAGGTAGAGATGGTAACAGAGGATAATCTGCTTCCATAAAGATTAAATTCTAAATCCCAGGAGTTAGAGTTTGCTTTAAAGCCTGAAACATGAGTTTTGATATCTATCTCATTACTCTTTTTTTTTTTTTTTTTTTTTTTTTTTTGCAAGCACTGGCTATTACAGCTGAGGATTCTTGACTGTAAAACATGCAAAGTTGCTTCTCATCTTGCTAAATTAACGACCTTGGGGATTCCTTGTCAACACACTGCATTAATTTTTCTATAGGAAAATAGTTTGAGGAACAGAAATTCAGATTAGTTATGTGGCTTAAAAAAAAAAATCTTCAAACTCTACACTGTAAATTTATGTTTATTGCCAGACATTTTAGTGCTCAGTCTAAATTGGGGGTAAAAGTATACAATAATATTTTTTGGATCTCTTCCTCCATTGAATACATTTTCCTAGCTCCTAGCATTAAAATGAATAAATACTAAAAATGCTTACAAAGTGAAGAACATATTATATAAATATATATAATGTGATAGGTATTTCTGCAAAGAAGAACATCCTTTGTCAAAGCAGGTGCAATGGTAACCATTTTAATTTTGTTGCAGTTTCAGAAACTCAGTTCTTCACAAATGTCAAATTTTCAGGACATAAGCTGCTGTTAAATCTTTTCTGTCACCTTTTAAAGACTAATTTATGATAATTTTTAATGTATACTTTTGAGGTGTGCTTTTACACATATGTAATGCTTACTTAGGCCGATGTGATAGGAAGATACACTATTCTGATGAAATTACTTGCTGGGACAAGCAATTGTACAATTAGAAAAATTATTTTAAAAAATAAGGTTAGCATGCTATGAATGTATGTAAGTTAAGAAACAACAACATGGGATTAGATTCAGCACGGGTGGTATACTGTGAAATGCCACCACCTTTCTCTGTTTCCCATGCAGTTACTCTTATAATGCACTTTCCCCTAAACACCTATATAGGAATAGTGACAAGCAGATCTTGTTTACACCTATGTTCACCGGACTGAGCCTTTACCTTTTAAAAATAATGATAAACCCATGCCCAGTGCAGTACAGAAATTGACCTCTAATGATGCCAGAGTTTGATTTGCACATCTACTGAGCATGGTCTCCAGAGATCAGAAAATCTGAAGCAAAAATGGGCTTTGTAGTGGTATTATGATGATGCTCTGGAAATTTTCCATTACAGTTTGGCCAGTGTCACCTCAAAAACATTTCATGTTATGAAAGGGTATCACTGCTGGGCAGAAATAGAAAGAATAGAGATGTTCGCAGCCCCGTAGTTTTCTGTGTGGACATTTGCCTCCTAGAGTGATTCTTTGTGAAACAGAGGTTCATATTATTTACACTTCTGTAAATGTGCAGTAGTTGAACTGTTAGCAGCAGGAGTTGGATATTGGTGTCTTTCTGTTTTGGATTACTGGTATGAGAAATCATAACCCAAATGTTCTCAACTTGCAAAAAGGTCTAGTTCATATTTGAGTAAGCTATTTCTTCAACTCTCCTCATTTTTTTTTGTTGGTTTGTTGGTTTTTAAATTTTTTTCCCTGCCTATAGATATAACTACCTAGACCTATTGCATATATACAGGCACATGCCTAATCTTGCTGCTTATCATAAAGGCCATAATGTACTTCCTATCTAAGAAGCAGCATAGGAAGCAGTATTAGTAATATCAAGGACAGTTCAGACCTCATCCAGCAGAAACAAATGGGAGGTGGTGTATGATTATTTATTTACAGTGAATGTATCATGAACATTTAATTACAAGTACTGTAGCAGTTAATGACATCGCACTGTGCATTCTCACAAGCAATCATAAAGCTTTTGTAATTTATTTTCTTACCAAGTTGCTCTGCTAAATGTTTGCCTCTCTCAGTGAAGATTACCCGTTCATCCTCCATGTCGCATTTGTTACCAACCAAAATAACCTGGGCATTATCCCAAGAGTATGTTTTGATTTGAGTTGACCTTAAAAGAGAAACAGAGAGAGAGAGAGAAGTCAAAGCAAAGCAAATTCCCCTTAAACCAGTTTCAAACAGAATTGTAACAAGACAAAAAAGACAATACTGATTTTGACATCTAGGGTAATATGATTTTGTTTAATTCTGGATTTCAAATAAACCAAGGATTATCTGTCAGGAATTCTTATTATAGGAATAATATGATTACAGGTTTTACTTTTGCTTGTTAAAACAAGACAGACTTTCAATATTTTCTCCTGCCATCAACGTTCTTCCTATATTTTAAGAAAGAAGCAGTGACACTTTCTCCCACACAATTAAAAAAAGTATTTTCACATTTTAGTGCAAACCTTACAATCTAAAACCAGAGCTTTGAAACAAAATCAACAGCTTGCTCATTTCTTATCTTTCACCTTTTAAAATCAGGATCTAAATTTATCAGCAAAACTTCAAAGCCATTCTGTCTTCCCTCTGTAGTTTCTTGCCAGCATGTTCCACTATAGGTCTTTGACCTACCAGGACAACAGCAACATTTACATTGTGCATTAATCCATGGACAGGTGCTGAGTTTGAACTTTAATTTACTTTCCATTTAAATTATACAAGCCATAACCATGACTACAGCTGATTCAGAGTATCTGAGGCCTTGAAATACCATGGGACGTTGAGTGCTAGTGGTGAAACACATTAACCTACAAAGCTCTCTTCTGCAATTTGAATGCAGTGCAGCTAATGAGCAGCTTAGAAGCACACTTGTAGCACCTCTCAGACACTGATTGCCACTACTCTCCTTGATACTCAGACCTGCTCTGTAGAAGGAAAGCTCCACATCCTGGCTCCAGGCTCAGCCAGGAGTGATGCTGCTGGCTACCACCTTCTAACTGAGAGCAGTACTTACCTTGGAAGGTAATTCAGGGTGCAGCAAGCACTTACCCTTTGCCTTGGACTTGTGACTATGTTTGGCTTTACACTCTGAGCCAACTGCTTGGTATGATGTTAATAACTCTTCTGTCCCCATATGATCAATGGAGAGAGAAAAAGATGTAGCACACCTCTCTCTCTCTCTCTGTCTCTTCCTCCTTGGACAATGCAGGGTGCTTAATTTCTATTCCAATGCTGTTTTCCTAACTGCTTAACTACACATTTAGGAGAGGGCACCCTGGAAGGGAATCCTGTTGGGTATCAGGGTCCTAGGTCTCTGTGAGAAAAGATGAAATAGCTTAATAAATCTGTCACCTAAGTGTTCTGGAAGCTGGCCTGTGTGGGTAGTAAGTTCACTAATGATTCCTTCTCATAACACAGCCATTACCTCTACACATTTAGATCCCTGTCTGCAAAATGTTTCATATGCAAAAAAAAAAAAAAATCATGATGTAGTCCAACAACCTTTCCTAGTGGAAGACAGAAAAGGGATCAAATCTCCCCAGATGGCTTTGATTATTGCAAAACCAGAGGGATGGGCAAGACCAAAATGTGCTAGAGCTATCTTTGTAACCTTGGGTCCAATGCCGTTGCCCACCGGCCCAGATGTCCCTGCATGAGTCAGAGCAGCTTTAAGCCATGTGTTTACAGTATGGGGCAGAGGAGTTTGAAGCGAAGGATCACACTGCCTTTAGGGCTGTTTTACTTCACCAGAATGACCAAAAAGAAGATGAAATAAGCCCCAGGCATTTTGTTGCTACAGATCGTTCCCTTGAACCTGACCTGATCTTTCCTTCAAGAAATGGACACTGTCCTACTTCAAATCTGTTTTATAGTAATTTGAGTAGGCGATCATAAGGTACTGTGACCAAAGCAGAGGTCAGACTTCCCTCTATGCTTACATGTTACTAAAGATACAATTGCTCAGAAAAAAAAAAAAAAGGCACCATGCATTCATTTTGGCAGAAATGTTCTTTTGGAACCATGCTGAGTTCTTCTGCAGTTTGTGGTTAAGCAAAATAGAAATATTACTATTTTTTTTAACCAGAACTACATTTGTCACCATAGCAACTCTGCAAATACTAGTAGCTCAGACGTCAGAGGATGTTAGTCCATTAAGTACTCTAAAGAGCTTAGCTTTGAACAGTTATGAGTTGGGGCCCAATTTGTCCCCCATACATTGTCAGGAAATTGAAGACAATTCAAAAGCAAAATATACAGTAAAAGTATTAACCTTTACAGAAGGAATTACTTGCATATTCTAGAAAGGTGAAATATAAGAGACAGATGAAGAAATACAACCTGGAGAAATATCATCACACCAGTGTAAAGATAATTAATTCAGCCTTGTTTTTCAGACTTTTGCTCCAGAGCCTTACATGAGTTGCTTTTTTGTTTGTTTCTTTGAGTGTAACCTCTTCATTTTACTACAGCCAGATGTGATTTTACATGCTATGAACTATGAACCTGTACTTTCAAATGCTTCTCATTACCAAAGTGACCTATTTTATTCTTAGACTTTTTAATCTGATTTGCTTATGTCTCATCTTCTAGTTATAAAGAATTATTTAAGCAACAAGAGAAGATAGCTTGTCCATGTTAACAATTCCAAAGTCTTACGTTTTGAAATAGACTGTAGTGCAAAAATACAACCGATTGATCGTGAAAATCAGTCAAATGTGTCCCCACCCAATCCCACATCAGTAGGAGTTTGAATTCAAAGGATATAATGTTTTCTTTTAGACACACATTTTCAATAATGGCTTCTGTAGATTTTGATTCCCACAATTTGCCACAAAAGCCAACACACAGGTCATTTAAAAAAGAGATTTTGCCGTTCCTTGCATATATGACCTTTTGAATGACAGAGGCTTCCAATTAATCCAAAACACAAACTGCTGTCCTTGTAGAAAACTTTAGCCTCAGGAAGATTGAAGACATGAAAAAGCAAAGCTGATGTTTGCAGTAAGGTGAATACAGCAATTCTTGTTCAGCCTCAGTGACCTGGTGTACGTCAATAGTAATTTACCCAGTAAATCTTCCACAATCTAGTTCTATGGTAGGCAGGCAATCTGCAATATGCTTGAATTTTTATAATGTATAGACACCAGAGGGGCAGAATAATGCAGGAGTTCAATGATCCATTACTTTCAGTGATCAACATAGGACTTGTTCTCCCTGTACTGCAGTTCTGCCATATTCCTTGTCAGAAAAAAGCACTTGCTGAATGCTAACTAAAGCAATGCTATTTGCTTATCTTAAGACAGTGTTGTATTTTCCACTGCTGGTTCGAACTACTGTCAAGTTACATCAATAAATCTCCAAAAGAGTTTTGGACTATTCTGACAGAAGACTGACAAAGATAATATGGAGGCTTTTTTCTTCTGTTTGATGAAATGAAATACTATGTGAAAAAAATGTTCAAAAAACAGTGTTGTGTTTTCAATACAAAAGTCATACTTCTTTTGAAATGAACCCTAAAGGAAAGGCAAAGTTAAAAAGTTCACACTGGCAAACGCCCATATGCCCACTGCTTCAGTGTTATCATGCTACCTAGCTCTGCTCCTAGGAAATGCCTTGTAATACTTGTTACTTCACAAAGCATTCTTCTGAAAATATTGCTTTTTGTTCCATAGAGTATAACAAGACTTTTCATCGTTGCCACTTCTAACACTGTCTTTTATTGAAGGAGACAATAAAACTAGTGGTGCCTAGGCAATACTATCCACTTTTACCTCATCTCCCATGAGCACGCAGGTTTCAAAGTGAATATTACAGTGCTTGAAATGGTGAATACACCATTATAAAGACCAAAGACACTATTATCATGCACTACCTCCCGCCAAGTCTGCCAAAACAATTAAAAGTGAATTCTGGTTTTAACTAAGCATAGTGAAATGCACCTTCATGACAGATAGGAAGCAGTAGGTAAAAGGTCTACATTGCAGCATATTAACTTTTGGGAAAGATCAAGTACAAGCTTAAAGGGCTACATCTATTCTCACATAGGGTCTATAAACAAATCAGCTTAATAAAGAACTTGGTTCTAACAAGAAGATTGAAACCAACCATGAAAGAACAAAAGTTTTGAAGAAGCAGGAGACTGACCTTGTGCAGCAGTGTGACCCTGCACCTCTGAACACGCAAGAGCTTCAAATAATTGTCCAGGCAATAATAGTGGTGTGTCTGTGTGTGCTCCTACGGGCACCATTCAAGGAGTACTGCACAGCATGATGGAGTGGGCACCAGAAATACCCAGTCCCAGCTGCTGAGGTTGCAGAGATGCTGGAAGCCAAGGTAGCTAGCACAGCTAGCGTGGCAGCACTGCTGTGGTGTTACCATTGTGCAAACTACCTTGTTCACATTATATTATGTGTTAAAAGCTCATGTGCATATCCACAAAGGATCACAGAGAGACAATGGCAGGTGGGAGAGCCCCAAAAATATCCTGGCCCTGGCAGCTTCCAGGCCTATCACAGAAGCCATCAGCCTGTCAAAGGCCCACATCCACAAGCCAGGAGGAGCACAAGGGTACAAAGGCAGGTGAGAACCCAAATTAAAGACTCAGAAGAAGGCATATCACATCCAGACCCCTTCCAGGTCTGTCCTAGGAGACCCTCACACCCTCTGCCCAGGCATGAAACCTATCACCACGGGCCAACATTGGAGGCTTCTATGTCCAGGTGCCACCAACTGGGAAGACTGGGGTCCACAGGCAGTTGCTGGTCAGACTGAGTGGATGATCCCAGCTGATGGAGGGACCCACACTGTATTATATGTCTACACGGATGTATATTCTCACTAGTGGGCCTCCATGCTGCTCTGCCTGGGACAGGAGCAGGATGTGGCTGTTGATGCTGTTTGCATTTGTGGGAGCGCCCTGTGTGTCTGTCTGTGATCTCTGTGGCTGGATATGTATATATGCATATGTATGTGTTGTATATGTGTGTATTGTGTGCACATGCCTGCTGGGAATACATCTTCAGCCTCACCACTGATTGGACCTGGGTCATAGAGCTGCAGCAGCCTCACCTCTCTCAAGCTGTCAGATGCAGTGTGATATATTTTCCCCTAAGAATTCAGACT